AAAAGAACATATTGTACATCTGTTCGATGAACGGTAATATCACCAAGAAAGAATCGAGCTACTTCTAAAGAGATGTTTGCAGAAAAAAATGAATTAACAGAAATTAAATGACCAATCGAATTTGAAAGTCGTTGGAATTCTTCGTTTTTCATTGATTTCCCACGATAAACAGTTTTCCTTGTTTGGTATTGATTTTCAGCAAGTTGTTTTTGTAGATCACGTAAAAAGAAACGATAAAGAAATAGAAGATCAATATTTTGAGTTCTCAAGGAATAGTTTAGTAAGACATAGACAAATGATGTACTCGATTACTATTTCAAAGCGTCCTCTTTTCTATACGAATTACGAAAGTCTCGGACTTGTTTTAACTTTGTTTCTATACCGTCATAGGCTTTCGTGCAATACTCAATTAATTCATCTTTATCGGTCGCTTGAGGAATCATACGAAGAAGAAGGTCAATCAAAAGTTGCGAGAAAAGAAATGTATCATTTATATCTGTTGTTAGTGTACCGCCTACACCTTTTGATGTGTCAAAATAAGCAAAATCGAGTGGATCGAGTGTATGACGAAGCCATGCACAAAGAACAGACTCAATCTTTGATATCAATTGTTTGAATTCTACGGTTCTCACCTATAAAGAAAAATACGATTGATATTTACTTTTGAATGCATTGTTGATACTGCAACAAGCTCTACAAATTTACATACTTTCTTATATTGTTTACCCCATTCGAGATCTGTTGAACCATTGAAAAATATAAGAATTTTAATGAGCTGACTAAAATCATGAATTTCGGGGATAAGGTCTTTACTGAGTACTTTGCTAACAATGAGTAGAATTTTTTCATTCAATTCAACACCTTTTATGTAATTTCGACAGTCAGTATCATGATATATTTCTATCTTGTAGTTAAGAGATTTTAATTGTGTAAGTATATCATCAGTGGGTGGTATTTCATTGAGCCAGACGATAGCAAATATTGACTGAATCTCATTATGTTCAGTTTTGCTAGTCTCTAGAAATGTTAAATTATTAATTATATTATTAAAATTTACTCACGTTTGTTGCCCATTTAAGTTGTATTTTAAATAAGAGTCTACAAATCGTAGATAATTTAGCAGTTTAAAAGTTTTGAGTTTTTTTTTTGACGCTCGGAGTAACAATTACTCAAAATTGTTCATTATTAACAGTCGTGTTGCAATGAGAAAAATTTTGGTGAACAATTAAATGTAATGTTATCGATCACGTAAATAAAAAAATATTAAAGTACTTTTCTACCGATTACTCATGGTTTATTTTTTTTTCTTCATTTTCTGTTACTGTCAACATGTCGTTTCTCTTCGACGCAGTTTTAAAAAGAGAACAACATTGCTGCCAGCATCATTGTCGTGAATGTAAATATACTTCTAAGTAATTATAGAAATGCGAGCAGCAGTACAATATGCGAGATTTATTTTCATTCTTTAGAGCTTTGATTATCTTTAATGCATCGAAACACAGCTGTGCTCAATTTTCGAAAAGTTCAATTGAGAAATCTGACTGTTCTCTTCTCAATCAAATATTGAAATAAAAAGGAGCACGCTTCAATTTATTACATTTTCTTTGAGATTTTTTGGGGCTTAATTTTCTTCTATTCATTTCAATGATTGGCCAATGTTCTTTCAATTGAATCATTTATCCCTATAACAGAGTGTAGATTCTACGCATACATTCTCACCCTCTATTTCTGTATTAAATAAGGAAGGAAGAAAATGAAAAACAATAAAATCATTCGATCGGTAATTTGATAGCGTTTATGATAATACTTTCAACATGCGATGAAAGTGGTGCGTGTGCCTGATTACGATTTTCAATCAATTTCCTGATGAAACTTAACGGATTGGATGAGAAACGGCATTGATGAAGTTGTAATTGTTGCCGATGATCTAAGTTTTCCACAAAGCCATCAATATTAATCCAACCATTGTCAAAAGCATTGGTTTCGATCTCGTTTCGAGGTTTCAAACATAGACCAAGAAATTTACAATAAGCATCTTGTTCTCGCTTATTTTCAAAGTAGATCGTTCCATTAAATGCAAATAATGCTACCAAAAGTTCAATTGGAATCGAATAGTCAAGAATTTCAGGACCAAATGAAATCAACGGAGGAATCGTAAGAGTTCGTGTATTGAACAGTATCGATTGATCTCGTCTAGTACGTGGTAACAATAAACGTAATGTTGTTTGCATTAATTTATCAGATGGTGATTTATGGTAAAGATATTGAAGGCGATCCATCAGTTCATTAGCTTCGTAGGGACTTAGGAATATGATATGTTGATTACGATAGATGAGTACCCAACGTGGAGGACGTAGAAATGGATCTAACGATTCTCCTTTCGTTTGAATGACCCGCTTGAATTCAGTAGTAATCCATAGATTTTCTTGCCAACAACCTGGTTGGCTTTCACGGTAGAATGTCATACCTATGAAAGCATCGGCAATAGGACAAAACACATTAGGTAAATGTGATAAGTTCAACATTGGACCTTGAGTTTCACATAGGTTCATAACTTCATGATGCAATATAGGCTCGCATGGAACGGCAGCTATAGGTCGTACTTGTTGTCGTTCTTCTTCTGTTTCTTGTTCTCGTTCTAGTTCTCGTTGCTGTTCTTCATCTAATAATTGTGTCAGAAGTTTTTTCGAACCGCCATAATCGAGCAATCGTTTTGAAACTGCTTCATGAATTTCAGTCGAATAGCCAGTATTCGAATATTGATAGCGAGTCGAGTAGATCTCGTACACTGTTTGAAATATTTTCTCATGACCATACATAGTTTTTAAATCTAAGATTTCAGCTTCTAAACTTGCTTTGGCTAAATTTTCCATCATTATATTTGTAAGAATTTGCTGATAATTATTCCAGTCAATATTCCGAAAAGCAGAATTTTTTTGCTGAAAACTTAAGCTTTGTGTTGCCCAATGATGTAATCCATCCCATATTGCCTGTTGAGTATTTTCATATACCCAACGAAGAATATCAGTCAAAGAAATATGATCGTTGACGTTTTCTTTTTCCTTATACAAAGCTGAAGTTTTCTTCAATGTTTGTACTTGGTGATGAACTTCGCTTGAACTCCAGAAACTCAACCAATGATGTTTACCTAATTTTCTCATTCTCATGCATGCTTGAACTAATCGATCTTTGGTAAGACCATTACCTAAAGTAACAGCTGCTCTAAATTCATTGGGAAACTTAAAGTCTGTTCCTCGCGTATGAATTTCATCCAAGTAAAATAGACAACGATCGAGTCGTTCACTAGCAGGAGCTGTCGAAAATGCATGGTGTTGATATTGACGATCACAAACAAATATTGAATCCATTTCGAAATATACAACATAATCTATTCTATTTATATTCGAGAGGTCTAACCACTTAATGGCTATTTGACGGTTACTTCCATCAATAAATAATGCGCCAACATCCAGTATAACTTGAATCATTGGTTCAGTATTAACAATTTGTTTTAGAATCTCTTCAGAACTTGCACCAATAGGCAAATCTTGATAATGTTCATTTTTCGGTTGAAGCAAATTATTAAGAACGACTGCATCAGTTTTCTTTAGTTCTGGTAAATCACACTGATGGATATGGACCGGTAATAATAACTGTGTATCATTAGTACCACTAAATCCAGTCATTATTTTCTTACGTGCAGATGAAGATAAATCCCATGGGGAAGCAATTAATTTATGAGGAAACTGTTTTGATTCATAAGGATAGACGAAATTATTGAGAAAATAATTTATAACTTGCATATTTCGTCGGAAAGTTGGAAAGAGTTGTTCAGTTCGTTGATGTTTATCTTTTAGATTGACTTGTTTCCATTGTTTAATACGTGCAATTGTATCATTGTCTTCTTCAAGTGAAATCCATTCATTATATATCACTTCCGGATCATTTTCATTCTGACTCAAACGATCAAAACATTGACGTAACTGTAAATCACTCAATCCACTATAATAATAAGAAATTTGTGTTAGAACAAGAGCAACATCTGGATGTCCGAATTCTGTATTTTCTGCTGCAACATCTTTCGCACGAAATGGTACGGCCATTAGACGATTAAATTTTGGATTAGGATTAACGCCGAAATTGACACGATAGCGTTTTTTCAATGTAACAAAAAGAACTTCCGATGATAGAAGACCTCGCATGACGAGAAATAACTGAATTATATTATAAGGAAATCGATCTTTTAGACATGTAATTGGTACACTTATATCAAGTATGAATTGTAAGATAAGTTCTTCATCTGATTGACGAAAGTTTTTTTGATTTAGCCAGTCCTTTGCAATTCTTTTACATAACTCTAGAAACGGTCGATGATTAAGTAAACGAAATTCTGGAAAACTACTTTTACGTTCTGATACTTTGTATGAAACATCATCGTTGAATTCTGTTGCGATGCTTGTAGCATGTTGTTTAACTAAGTTGAGTACTGATTGAATAGTTTGCCAACGTTCTAAACCTCCATCGACTTGTTTCTGACCACCAATTGAATAAATCAATTGGTATTTAACATGCAAAATTTCATCGGATTCATCTAGAATATCACGAACGTATGTTTTTATCCAACGTTGAGTCGATAACATTGGCCGGCCAACATCAAACTCATTTCGTCGACATTTGTCTATAGTAAGCAAATCAAACGATAAAATATCTTCTGGTGAAGTTAGAACCACATCACGTTGACTTAATCCATATTGCAGACGATTGAAAATCTGATTTGCTTGCGATTCACTAAAATTCATATCACGACGACATGCAAATGAAAGTACACGTCGATTTAATAAGCCACCTAATTTGTGCCGTAATGATTGATAGTTTGTTGGAAATAAAGATTTTAATACAATGATACGAACTAAACTTGACGACGATGAACATAAACTAAGAGCTAGCATAGGAACAATTACGGAAGTTTTGCCTTCACCCATATTCAGTTGCATAACGGTATTACGCATATTGAAATCATTGTTATTCATTATGGGCTGAGTCATATGGCGTGCTACCTCAACTTGTATTTCTCGAATGGTAATATTCATTTCAAGCTCGATTATTAACCATGGTAGATTTTGTGATGGCACCCAGTTCGCGTGTGGTACATTTGATATTTCTCTTTCAAAGTCTTCCCATTTCTTTTGATAACCGAAGTGTAAAGCTCGTTCTATTTGTTGTTCTACAACCCAATTGACCATGATTCCACCAAGCAATGTACGTTGATCAGGAGTGAGAACTAATACCGGAGCATTTCTACTATTGATTTCAGTTCCGTTCAACCATGTTTGATGGAAAACCGATAACAACGTTGTTGGAAGAAATCGTACTGCTAAACCTGTTGTAAACAGTAGTTGATTTGTGAAAATGATAGATTTTCCTAATTCACTCCAGCTTTGCCTCGAGTCTTGACGAAGAGAATGAAGAAATCCTTCTATGATATTCAACGACGGGTATTCTTTTCGATATTCTTCAAGCATATTAAATTGATTCCAACTTTCTGCTAAGTGTTCTTTAAAGTACTTGGCGATATCGCTGATAAGGTTGACTTGAGAATCTGTTGAAGGAAAGATTTCCTTCGGAAATTCTTTTTTCTCATTCGTGATTCGAACACATGCGGTTGGTTTGATAAAATAATCAGAATGAGGATGCATAAATTTTAATCTTGCACTTTCGAGAAGTTTTTGATCGACGCTTGTATCTGCTAATTTCAGATGGATTTGATAATGATTTCGAAATGATTCGAATCCAAATCGTTGTGGGTTGACAGATACTTTTGTATGCAATGGAATCATCTGAACAGAGCAAAGATGATTTTGAATATTTTCCACAAACGAACGTAGTTTGACATTCTCTCGCCAAGAAAGAAACAGCATGTTGATTTTATGTGTTTGACTGTTTATCTGGATTATTTGCGGAAGATTTTCGTTTTCATAAGTACAGTTTTTAACAAAACAATTTCGCATTTCTTGTAAAGCTATACTCCGCTTATAAAACCCGAGATTTCCTAATTTGATCCGATTATCTTGAAATGACATTTCTTCAATATTTTCGTATCTGGTAAACGAAGGATATGGTAACGATCTCAATGATAAGCTTGGCCCTCGTATTATGGACTTAAGCATTTGCAAATAAAACGGTTTATAAGAGCATTTATCCGAAATATAATGTAGAAAATCTAGTAACAATTCAAAGCGTTCAATATCATCCTGTCGATTGTTAGATTCAACTGTCTTCAGTTCTTCAGTGGATTTGAATAAGCCAATCCAAATGTTTTTTAATTGATATTCACTTGACAGCCATCGAGACAGAGGAAAACATCTGAGCTGTGAGCTATCTTTAAGATCAACATCCCCACTACCATATAGATTATCTATTAGACGAAGAGAGCTGTAGTTTGTTGCACGTACAGAATTTTCCCATACTGGTTTGTACGAGCTGACGACACTGGCACGCTGGATTTCGGCTTCCATCTGTGGCGATAATCGGGCTAGAGGATTGTAAGAATCTCGATAGTCCCAATAAAGCTTCATCAGTAGGTTTTCATTATACTTTTTACTTTTAAATAATTTTTCTAGTTCATCGTTATTGGGCGTGGCTGATGTTGAATACATAAAATTCCATTCTTCACTAGCTTCTAATAGCTTTTTGGCTATTAAATAATAGCCGAAATGTTGCAATGAATAAGGTAAATAGTCAGGATTCCATTCGATCTTTTCCATGGATTGATTATTTTCTGAGTAATAATTAACTTGTGGTGAAATGATGGCGATTTGAAGAAGAATTTGTCGACAAACTGGATCAAAAGGCTGATCAGACCAACTACCAGCCGAATTTAACAATTCAAATGAACGTTCCATTCCAGTCATGCCAGTATATTGATCCGGTAGACAATGAGATGTTACAGCGTGTAATAATGCCAGATACAACCATCCTGTTGGGCTATCGGTCGGTTGCAGAATACGTAACCGATCATTCAAAATAAAAACAAAGTATTGATGAAGAAATGGCGACTTAGATTCTGATGTTCGATCTATTGTCACGGTTTGATGATGTCTGTCTGGTTTTTTACTTATTCGAATTTCTCCATAAGGCACAATCAGTTTTCGACAGAGTTGATGCCTATTTTTGTGTTCAATAGTTGCCATGGGTGAAAGTAGAAGACCCGATCTTAAACCTGTTAACGTACCGAAACATTGATTTTCATCGACATGCATATCGGAATATTCACGTGATGTTATTGTATTGTGTTGTGGACTGTATTTAAATGCAATACCTAATCGAGATAAATGAATGTTAATAATGCCATTGTCTACTAACATGTATACATAGGGTTCACTGTCCAGACGAATAAAATATTTTGTAAATAAATTCTTGAAAAATGATGATGAGCGATTAATTAAATATTGTCTATTTTCAGTATTGTTTGTCCTAATAAATCCTTTCTTAATTGCTAATATGTAATGAATATCATGTAAAAAATTCTCATGTTGAAAGTGAACAGGTCGAAATTCTACTATTTTGGTCTTATCATTCCACCAATGACTGTAATTTGAGACAAAGATTTCAGCTAGTTCGTCTTCAAAACATTTGGGAGGAATCAATTCAAATCTGTCATTCGTCTGTGCGTGATGTTCGTAGATTCTCAAACAATAGTTTTGACGATTGAATTCATAATGAACTTTTTCATCGTGATGATATCCATGTTTTGTGATATAAGTATCGTCTTGTTCACCTCTTTGTACTTCAAAAATATGATTACCAAATACACGTTGAAATAACTTGTCAGAAGTGATATTATTCGGTAAAAATCCAATACTCTGGTCATTAACTACAAATTTTCCATTGAAACAATCAATTGATACGTTATTTGATTCATATTGACCATCGTACCAACCATCATATATATTCTCGCTTCGTTTCTTCCATTTGCCATCGGCTTTACCCTTAGTTCGGATAACTGCCCAATATATAGACGCAAATTCATTTAAAAGTTCATATGAATTTTTTTCCAGAAGCTTTTTAACCATGGGATGAATACTCACCAACACGCGCTCACTTTGACGCATCAGATTTCTCATAAATACGCTCATATTCAGTTTTTTATTACCTAGAATAAGATTATCATGAACAGTTGTGACCATGTTGAGTAGCGACATTACATCGTCATTGGATAAATCTAACGAATGACTAGCGTCTGTATATACAGAGAATGTGAGCAAACATGCAATGCCGATAATTCCAATTTTATCGCGTAATGCATCCATTTTATTCGAATCCGATGATGATGGATTATGAATACTTTTTAAGATAAGTTGAATCCATTTTGCACCTGTATTACGGCATTTTAAAACGAGATCAATCATACGTTGTTTTCTTGTTGAATTACAAATAGTAAATATTCGGATGACAACCACTGTTATGATAATTAAAACCAATTCATTTTGCCAATTGCATTCGAAATCTTTCAAATGACGCTCTAATCTCACAATTAATTCATCAACAAAATGATCTTCTAACAGTTGTTGATGTGATTCTGGACACCATGAGTATATGAGTGCTTTTCCGTCGATTGCGAAGGGCCCATTTTGCAACAGTGCATGTGTAATAAGAACTGCAACACTTTCTTCGTCTATCGATAAGGAATCTGTCTCTAGAGCGCTCAAAAGATTCCACCATTGTAAACGATGGCCAGACCGAAATGAACCAAACTCTAAGAATTCAATTGGTTTTAGTTGTAGCGTACATTTTGATAAATTAGCAATGGTTTTATTTTGTACGAATTGAGTACTTTCGATAGAAAATTGTAATGACTTATAATTGGGATCCGATAGTTCAGGTGTTAAAGTTCGACATTCATCCTGGAGTGTCGTCGGTCTTGTTGGAGTGATCTGCACTTGTAAACTATTTTCGTAGAAAAATTCTTCTAGTGGTGTGGATGCGATTGAACGTGGAGCTGAATAATGTGTCTCCGACAATGATTGTTTCGCAGATAACAATTGTACTTTACAGTCACGAGGACCCTTATAAAACATCGCTAGTTTGCTACCATGAGGTCTAGAGCTTAACCATTCGTACATTTTATGTGATGGTTTTGGATTAGGACGATTAGCAAATAGCCAAAGGATATCTCGATAGCATCTGATTTCATTCGGCATTTGTAATTCGAAAATTACAGCTAATGCACTTTCTCGCTCAGATGGTATTGGACATTCATAAATATCAACTTTAATATTATTCGCTGTTCTTTCAAACTTGCATCGATCACATTTTTTATAATACAACTTGACATCAGTTTCGCATTCGCATTTGAGATCAATGACTTCTTTCATCAATTCTTCATATTTCTTTTTTGCTTTATTTACTTCTTCGGTTTTGTCCTTTTTATCTTGTTCGATTTGCTCTTGAATTTTTTCTAGAGTCTCATTCATTTCCGGTGATTGATCAGCAAATTGAACACCGAAAGAATGCCTGGATTCGATATTACTTAATAGATCTGGATATGTTTTTTTACTGAATTCTTGAAAGTAATCATACAAAGTTCGAGCTTGAAACATCTCATTTCGATTTGGTAAGACTAAAAATTCGAATAATTCGAGCAGATTCGGAATTCTAATAGCATGCAGCTTCAATCTTTGGAATCTTCCATCTTCGCATAAAGTTTTGTGTATTAAACGAATTATTGTCAATGATGTTAAAATAAATCGACTGTAGCCAATCGGATCAATTGATTTGTTTTTTGAATAATACCAATTTAAAGCAGCATTCTGATAGTTTTCATAAAAATTTTGTAATTTTTCAAATGTTTGATCTCCTTTGCCCGATTGTAATGATGAATCTATCCAGGCTGCTAAATTGTATTGTATCCATATTTCAGCACGTGTTAATACTATTCCAATAGAGTCTTCATCATGATTAGTTAACAAGAATCTTGGTAAATCATCGTCTCTATCAGCAACTCTATTAGATTCCAAACATCTATAACCAAATCTATCAAAATAGTATCTGCTGGATTCACCAGAACGCCGTTGATCAATATACTCTTTTAATTTTCGACATGGGTGTTGATAAGTTTCCTGCTGATATGGATGCAAATGAAGTTTAGCATACTTTTGTTTTTTCTGCTTCTCGATAGACTTTTGCCAGTTAGGACTCGGCGTGATGTCATCGACTTTTTGTTTTATTTCCTCTTTTACATTCTGTATCCATTGTTTTATATCATTCGAATCGACTGGTGACAACAATTGTTCAATTTTATTTAATCTTCGTACAATTTTTCGAAGGCAATGCATTAGTATATCATTAGATATTCGATAATTATTTGATAATTTCTCCGATATACAATAAGTCAAAAAATGTGTAATTAGCAATTTGTATACAATGGTGCCGACGTTTCCCAGACGTCGTACCAGAATAGTGTGTAGAACAACTTTAATAGTCATCCATAAACCTGATCGTCGAAACGGAAGCATTGATCTTGTATATCGAATTTGATCACGATGTTTTTTCTTAAATGCAATAGACGGATTGGTTTGTTTATGTACTTGAGCATCTTGAAATTGAGTAATCCACCATTGGCAAACATAGTGTGATATAGGAACATCACGGATTTCATCGAATCTGTATGAGGACTTTTGAACTTTGGCATGCTCAATCGTATTGTTCATAAAATCGATTAATAGTTCACAATGAACACGAGATAACAGGTGCGATCGATTAGGCAATCGAAACACCGGCACCGAAAAATCCGAAAAGTGTGGTTCTAACGATGATGTGATGACGTCTGGAGGTAATGAAACTTGCCAAGATGAAATCAATGGTTGATCAGTATGATTTTCATCGATTTCAATCAAAATTGCAGCATTCTGTGCGTGGAAATACAATGGAAGAAAATCACCTGGCACTAACTTCTGAATGATTGATTGTAAATTCGGTACAGAACAGTTTTCTTTATTCTGTATAACTGTCCAATATTGAAAGCATTTTTTAAGCACTTGAAAAAATGAAAGTTCATTTTTGGCATTGAACGATTGCAAATACTCATTCACATATTCAAGTAGTTTATATTCATATCGATGATCGGAGTCAACTAAATAGTCAGTATCCGATGATGACGGCAAATTGTGAGGAAGAAATAAATGATTTAAAATTGATCCATTCAAGTTTTGCGAAATCGATTCCTTGGGCTTGCTATACCAAGATGAGGTATAATTATTCTTCACAAACATTTATATAATCGAAGTATTAAATGAGAAGTTAACTCGTAAGAAGATAATGAAACCTTTTGTTTATTTTTGATCCTACATGTCAACAAAAATATCATTCAATCATCGATAGACGACCAGCACCTGAATTTTTAAAAATGTTGTTATGCCTTTTAGCTATCATACTCAGAAATAAAACTAATGAATCAAAAAGATTCCTTTTGATCTACGATGAGAATCGCAAAGCACTTGCCCACGTAAAAAATAAGGAAAAATCAGATTAAAAATCGATTATAATTCAATAATTATAAGCAATCGATCTACACTGTATATATCCCATGTGAACTATGATCTTCGAATTATTTTAATACTATAACTCTTAAGTTAAGTCGGACATTTATTTGTATGAGGAGACATGATTAAGATAACATATTTATTCGAAAAGGTATACATAAGATAAAATAGAACTCATCTGCTCCATTCATATTTCAATTTAGTACTTTTAGACAGAAACAGATCCTTTTTTCGATTATTTATCCATCATTGTTTATGCATAAGACAAGGATTTTTTCTGAAACTGTTGTAACTTACCTTGTTAATATTGATTTGATTCATGAATTCTGGCTCACTTTCGAAAAAATTCATTTTCCATGTCATTCTCTTCGTATTTATATTTGAAAATTCGACTGGGAAAAAACCCAGTGTATCGAAAAATAAACATAGCTAACTACTGAATCATCATTGCTGATAAAAGATGTCACTAAACCAGGAATGAGGGTGTGGATGTGGGTGTGGGTGTGAGGTGTGGGTGTGGGTGTGGATATGGGTGTGGGTGTGGGTGTGGGTGTGGGTGGGTGTGGGTGTAGGCGTAGGTGGGGTGTGGGTGTGGTTGGCTGTAGATGGATGTGGGTGTCAGTCTTATGTCTATCGACATCTAAACCCACACCCACACCTACCCACACCCACACACCCAAACCCCATCCGCACCCACACCCACACCCACACCTTTTAAATATTCTTTACAATCTATGTAGTTGGAAGAAATGAAAAAAGAACACGAACAAAAAAAAAAATTGAGAGTCTCTGGCACATGTACCATTAACTATTTCAGACATTACCGTTTTATTATTAAGCTGTTTCTTCTTTATAGCTGTTTCTGATAAGTCAGCAAAAGAACTCTTTCTAATTCTTCACAACCTCACCTACTCAAAAAAATCCTATAATAAACGAGTTACGTCTGTACTTCATCAATTGAGCGATATGTTGATAGATGAATGTGGGTGTGGGTGTGGGTGGGATGTGGGTGTAGGTGTGGATGTGGGTATGGGTGTGCGGCGGGTGTAAGTGTTGCGGGCATAGGTGCAGAGCGTGGGCTTGCGGGTATCGGTGTGCGGTGGGCATGGGTGTGAAGTGTTGGGGTGTGGGCTTGTGGGTATGGGTGTGGAGTGTCGGAGTGTGGGCTTGTGGGTATATGTGTGAAATATGGCATATATGTTAAACTTGAAACTTGAATTCAATTGAAATTTCAAGTTTCAACTTTCAAGTTTCAACGTTTCAATCTAAAGCAGCTGGTAGAATCACCGCTACCGCACATTCTGAGGCACGTCGTAGAAGCTGATGCGGGTGCGGCGAAAGGAGTTTCATAATGATTGAGTCGGAGTGTTTGCAGCGGACAATGGTTGTCGAGAATTTTTTCCCGTGACATCAACAATGTATGTTTTCAAGGATGGACGATATTTGAAGTTTTTTTTTTGTGAAGAGATCTTCTCGGTGTATATGAGGACTGATGATGTTGCACGCGAAAAAAACAAAGATGATTGATATTAGTAAGTGTTGTGGAAGAATCTGAATGTATCTAGACTGAATTGCATTTGCTGTTACCCTAATCAAATAGTACACATAGATGAGTGGTATGCGGCCATAACGCTGAGTATTTGTATTATTTTCGGATGCACTTTTAACTAGAGTAAGAAGAATCATGTTAGAAATTTAGATAAGATGGATAATCGGTGGCGCATCCAGAGATTTCGGAAGGGGATGACTTATAATTCAAGGTGCATTGGGTTGAGTTTTATGTTGTTGATGAATGAGGTAAAAGTAGAAGAGGTTCGCTGAAAATCGATTGACAAACAGGGATATGTCAGGAGGGTGTGGGTGGGTGTAGGTGTAAATGTGGGTGGGGTGTCCAAGCAGACAAGAATTTGGAAAAACGCGTTTAAAACCTACAATCGGGAACCGCGATTGTCACCCATTCACGCTCAAAATCAAAACGCCGTTTTTCGCGGTTTTTTGCGTTTTTTGCGTTTAATTTTCACTTTCAGAGCGTGAAAACGGTGAAAAATTTTAAAAATGAGCGTTAAAACGCATTGTTTTTAAATTTGAGAAAATTTGAGAAATAAAGGCGCGTTTTAACACTAAAAACTGGAGTTTTTCGCCGTTTTCACGCTCTAAAAGTGAAAATTAAACGCAAAAAAACGCAAAAAACGGCGTTTTGTTTTTGAGCGTGAATGGGTCACAATCGTGGTTCCCGATGGTAGGGTTTAAACGCGTTTTTCCAAATTCTTGTCTGCTTGGGTGGGGTGAGCGTGTGGGTCTTTGTTTTCAATCCAAACTCATATCCCTACCCACACCCCACACCCCACACCGACACCCAATCTGTATGATGATAAGATTTTATCTGTGATATTATCAACTGGGGAAAAAAATATTTGTTTTTCTTTTATTCAATTATTATTCGTATTTTAAGTACAAACGATTGAAATAAAAACTAATTTATTATTTAAAATTTTATTGATAAAGGTAACTTTTTTAACGAACAAATGCAATCCGATTGAAAAAGGAAATTATATCTTTCTATTAATAATTAAAAACTAGTCATCGGAAGCTAAAACAGTTATGTATTTGTAATTATCACAACACACACACACACGATTTAAGACTCAACTTGTTTTTTCCTTTTTTATTGGTCATCATTGATAATAAATTTGACAATAGTTTCACACACCTACACCCACGGAAAAATTTTCTTTTTGCTTTGCATTCATTTGACTTGTTACTTTCCATTAGATCGTGGATGATCCATCAACGCATAGCTACACATGTATATATGCATAGCAAGACGTGAAAGTTCATATGAAATAAGTGAAGCACACGAGATCTTAGTTGTCTTCACATATATCGATCGGTCCAATAAGTTATCGATTGATAGATGTAAGGACAAAACGAATGTCGTGCGCCACTTATCTATTATATGAGTTTTTCATCGTGCACGAGAAAACTACACGATGAAAGAAAAAAATAAAAGAACAACTGTTCTGTTGTGTTGTGCTATTGATTGTATTAGTTCGTGAATGTGTCCTTATAAATAAACATAGGAATAACAGAAGTAAAGGAAAAAGAAAACTTTTTTTTGTCAAATTCTGCTTCACTCTAGATCTCTCTTTAGAAAAAAAGAGCAACAAAAAGAAACTCACAATATTCTTGTGGATAGGCATCAAATGAAAAAAAAATGTTTACATTACACTAATGTATTATATATTAGTTTTTATGCAATAAGAATATGATATTGTCGATAATGATGATATGATGGTTTTGTTAAATCATTATATTGAAAGTATTGATTGAAGATTAAAACTTTTGTTTTGTTCATTATTTTATTATTCGATGGATACTATTATAGACATAAATTGAAATGTATATTTGTTTTATTGAACGTGATGAAATTCGTTGTAGGTTACTCTTGTCGATGAACGATCATTCAAATCAACTATTTGTTTTTTTGAATTTTACCGAAATAAAAATTGTGGATTTTTTCGTTATTTATATCTTATGATAAATGCTATTATTGCTTCATCATGATCACCTTCATTATTACGTATATAGATAGGAATCAATATAAAGTGTTCAATATTATTAGATATTCTTTCAAGCATTTTCATTATCAGATACATTAATTAATAACAATCAATGTTGTTGTTATACAACGATTGTTTTGAAACTAAATAAGAAATATCCATTTAACTGAAACTTTTCAACTAGAGTATTGCAATTTGAATTTCGAATCTAGATGTAAAAAAGAATTATCAATTCAATTCCAATCTGGAGACGATTAGCCTTGAACTATTATAGACTAATTAATTTCGATATATGAAATACATGTTGATTCGAATTAGATCTATGTAAATCCAGATTCAAGAAGAAATCTTTCTAGATGTTTAACGAAGGTCTTGAATTTATAATATATCTCCTGGTTCGAGAGGTCAGGTTTT